TTATTTTGAATTCTTTGTCTGGTAACTCATATATCTCTGTTTCTTTAGGGTTGGTTTCAGGAGATTAACTTTGTTCCTTTAAATGGGCCATGTTTTCTTGTTTCTTTGTAGGTCTTGTTACCTTATGTTGGGATTTCAGCATTTGAAAAGTCAGCTATCTCTCCCAGTCGGGTTTCTCTTTGCAGTCTGGTTTCATACAAGGAGGACATTCTCCATTCAGCCCTGCTAGAGATTCTGGAGACTTCTGAAACCTTTTCTGGGGATGCATCCTCCCTGGGCTTGCGTGTTATCTCCTAATTGAAGAGGTTTGCCTATTTCTTCTTAGGAGCTCCCTGGGTGTCTCTCTCTGTGTTACCGGGGCCTGGCTGGTGCCATGGTACTGGCGCCCCACCTAGTGTCTATCTGTGGTACTGCAGACTCTGGTGCCAGTTGATTTTTGTTCTCTGAGGCCAAGCTCCAACCCCTGGCTCCTGCTTCTTGTCAGTACTTGGGTTCAGGCAAGATAGAAACCGGCCCCTTGGGCAGTCCACCTATAAGTCAGCCTGTTGGAAGTACATTCTACTTCTTTCCTTCCCAGGAAGAGATGGGGACTGGGTGTTTCCCCACAATCGCACCACACAGTGCCAGGGAGAGGGGTTCTGGGGAGAGGGCCGCACAGTTTCCCACCAGGCTTTGATGCGGTTGGTTTTGTACTTGCCTGAGTACAGGAACCTCTTAACTGGGTTCCAGGTATTCCTGTTAAATTCAAGTGTCCGTGGGGGAGGAGGGTTGGGGGAGTCTCCTATTCCACCATCTTGCTTATGTCGCCTGCAATAGCCCTAGTTTTAATGAGCTTTTGCTATGTGTCAGACAATGTCCTAAGTAGTTTACATCTATGAGGTAATTTAATCCTTACAACCCTATGATTTAGGTGCTGTCATCATGATTCTCATTTTCTAAGTGAGAAAACCAAAATAGGGAGATGTTAAATGACTTAGCTAAGGTCCCTCAACTAACAAGCAATTACATTAAAATTTCACACACAGAACTTAGAAGCCCATGCGTTTAGCCACCGTGCTACACTAGATACTAGATACTAGTTTTTTGGGGAGAGGGGGTTGCTTATCAGCATTTTCTATAATATACATGCATTAGCTTTACAATACATGAATGTCCCATTTTCCCTTATAGACATATAGTTTGTAGGATG